TATGGGCTGAGGCTTACTCATGATAATCAAGGTTAACACTTGAAGAATGGTCTTGTGCAACCTAGTCAACCAACCAATCAAAGTACACCCTTTGGCATACTTTTGGTTTTAGTCTAATATGAGTTACTTCAAGTAATTACATAGGTAAGTAATCATAGTAAAATGTAATTAAAATGCAGAACTGCAATTAAGACAAATATATCAGCGTTCAGCACATTGATCCCTTAATTCCTAACCGAGAAACTGAGCTTCTCACTACAATAAATCACTTAAGTCTCATGTTAAATCATAAAGTAGAAGTTCAATAACATGTATCATGTATCAACACATTTTAAGAAAAGTATTCGATCACGTATTAAAACACAATTAAGGCACATGTGTAGCAAGTAGTCGTGATCATGCATCATGAATAATGAATTATAACTATATGCATTGATGCAATATGCTTATTATTGACCATGTATGGATGATTGGGCATTTACAAATTGATTTGACGAAGCATAAATTCCATCAAAATAACTAAAGATAACAGTCACAAATTTGGGACAATTATCAAAATGTCGAATACACCAAATTAATAGAGAGAATTTAACATTTTTTATAATTGATTGAACATAAACTAATGACTGTAAAACATTGTGAAAAACAAAAATATAAAGAAAGCACAATTCAAACCTTTTCAACTCCTGCGCAATAGAGTGAAGAAAACAAAAGACAGTGAGAAAGATCGATTATTAAACACACCTATTTATAGGAGTTAACTGTCGGAGAGGTTACAAAAAGGTGCATTCATGGTGTGCAGAAGTTATCGATTTTGATGGCGGTTGTTGTTTCTTTACGCACGAACTTGAACTTGAGCAAACACGTTTTGCACAGATATGAGAAGTTTCTCTTGGGACGATTCACAAAGAAGGTGGGGGAACGTGGGAATTCTTTTTTCTATTTTTTTTTTAATCGTGTAATCTAAAATAAATCCAAAAATAATTTTAAAAAACAATGAGTAATAATAACTTCCAAAGTAAACGGACAAAAATAACCGTTTACAAATAATTCACAAAAATAGGATTAGGGTTTCGGGCAAAGGCTTTCTTTTATATATAAAGATTTTTATTATTATTATTATTATTATTATTATTATTATTATTATTATTATTATTATTATTATTATTAGAGTAAAAATCCATCAGCTGAGGCAAATCGGACGCCGCCTCTGAATCGACCCCGCAGTTTCTATTCCTTGCAAACCCTGATATAGGCACTATTTTCCCATCACTACTCTTCTTAAATATTCTGCACATCACCCATTCATTCTGAAAATTTAATAAGAAAAACAAAATAAAAAAAAAAATAAAAAAAAAAAACAGGGGAAAACAGGGGAATATACATTAGCAGTTTTGGGGAGATTTTGCAAAGAATGCTTGCCCTCCAATCGGTATTCGTGCATAACCCAATTGGTTTTTTCCACTCTCTCGCAACCACCGACCACCAACCCCACCCCGGCAAATCATCATTTCCACCTCTAAACTATTTCCAACCCGCCGCCGCCATTACTTGCCCCATTTCCGAGTGTTCGACCATAGCAGTAAGAAACGATCTTCCCAATTTTTCTTTTTAAGAAATCACCATCTACGCTGCTGCTCCTCCGACGTCAAAGATCCTAACCTCATCCCCATCTTCTATGGATCTATGATCAAAATAGGATTTGAAGACATTTTATTTAAACTGAATCTGGGCCGCCGAGGAAATTATCGGAGATCGATGGTGCTTTTATTTTTTCGCCGGAGAATGTTACCTGGCTCGCGGACAAAGCTATATCCTTGAAAGGAGGAGTTGTGTTCGTCGGAAAATTTTGGAATTTTTTTAAATTATTGTTTGAGATTTTTTTGGTGCAGACATGCATTGGGTTTTTGGGATGGTCTCGTGGGTTTTTGGGAAGAAAGGCGGGTTATGTGGTCTGTTGGATGACAGTTTTTTCTCCTTTATTTCCTGTTTTCTTTTTTCTGTTTTTTTTTTCTTTTTTTTTTTTTGTCTTTTTTTTTTCTTTTTTTTTTAATATGTATTTGTAATTAATATTAAAGATGCAAGTGAAGGGACGAATTTACCCCTCAAAATTTCATGTGCAAAGCACATGTTTTAACATTCCGGTCAAAATTGCCGGAAAATTGAGTTTAGGGGGCACCGTGCAATGAATTAACGAATTTAAATAAAAACGTGCAAATTTTTTTTGTTTGGAGGGTAAAGTGCAAATCGGCACGTAGTTTAGGGGGGCAAACTGCTTTTTATTATTATTATTATTATTATTATTATTATTATTATTATTATTATTATTATTATTATTATTATTATTATTATTATTATTATTATCATCATCGATCGAAGGTTAATTAATATCTCGATTAATTAATATATACCATAATTTAGTTACCTGTCTAATAGATGATAAAAAAAAATAAGAAAGTGGAAAATTAACTAAGGAGCAAGAAGAAATTAAGATTTTATACCAACTGAACATAACTAAGGAAAACTTGATCGATAAACTTATATCAGATAAAACTACGAAACGTTGCCGTTTTCATCATATTATAGACCAGACTTAACCGGGATTTATCGTTCACCTATAAAATAAACAAATAATGAAAACCCTAATACCCAATATTCAAAATCACAAGATTAATATTAAAAAAAGAAAACCTAATTATTATTATTATGTGGGAGCTTGACAAGAGCAAAGTGCAACTCTTGATCGATTCTAAAAGACCAAAGCTGGACCACATCATCAGGTTCGAGATGATTCCTCTGCGCAACGTTACTCCATGCTCCGTTTAATACGTAATTTGAAGACGTATTCTTGCCGTTAGCCTTGTTCATATCCCATCTGCACAGCTTCACTTTCTCCAGTTCCAACGAGGGCTCGATAATCGTGACCTCTTTGAAATTCATCTTGTTGTTGCCGTCGCGTGTTGTAAGAAAGTGAGTCTCGTCGTCAGTCAAGAAAGTATGATCAAGAACCTGCGTGAAAGGGATCGACAGCCTGTTGTTTCCCTTAGCCAAATCTGTCTTGAACAATCCCTTTTCGATAACCAGCTTCTCCTCCGTTACACGTTTTCCTCCTTGCGCTAATCTTCTTATCACCTCCTTGAATTCTTCCGGCAGAGGACACGGCGGTGGCTGTGACGACGACGACCCTTCTCCGCTCGATTCTTTTTTCTTCTTCGGACTATTATTGTGGCTGTGACGACGACGACCCTTCTCCGCTCGATTCTTTTTTCTTCTTCGGACTATTATTATTATTGGACGACGACGTCTTCCTTCTCTTGGCCGCCGCCGATGCCTTGTGATCGGAATATTCTTCTTCTTCTTGTTCTTGTTGTTCTTCGTATTCTACTTCCCAATCGACGAAGTCGTCGGGGATTTTAAATACAGGATTGCTCCTGATTTTTCTTTTGTTTCTGTTCTTCTTCTTCAGCTCATCTGCTTCCATTAATTCCTGTAATCTTTGATTGGCCAATCTAGCCAAAGTCTTCAATCTGTTGTTTTCATAGCGTCTGAATTTTCCACACGCCATCTTCTTCTTAATAATAATTCTCTCGATCGCCTTGTTAATTAATATATATTTTCAATTGAATAAACATTTGATAATAATGGGATGATGAATGTATCATAGTCTGTATATATAGAGAGAGAAATTGAGAGGGTTTAAGTGGTTTCCAAGATGGTATAGAACTAGGATTTTCCTTATATACAATTCATGTAAATAAGGAATTTTTTTATTTTCGGATTTGGCCTTACTGAATCTTTGTTAAGTTGTTTTCAGATTTTTTTCCTAATTGAATTAGAATTGGCAGCCTAGTTTAATTAATTTGACCGTTACCTGTACCTCAGGTAGCCAGAGAAAAAAAAAAAAAGGAAAAAAGGAAATCAAAATCTTACTGGGAATAGTTGATGGGCCTAATTGGGAAGTGCAAAAATTCACCAGGCCCGAAATAAAAGTGAGCCCAGCCCATAACTGGATTGGATGTTGATAAATCTCCTTCCATCCATGTTAAATACCTACAAGTTTGACAGAATGTCAACACGATAAGCTACTAATTTGACAACTTAAGCTAGATTATGTTGAGCCATGAGTTCCTAACACACTCTTGTTTGCAGGCCAAGAATTAAACATACAGCATGACGTACAATGTAGAAGAACAATTTATGGATTTCACAACTAATGCAGCTAGTAAATCAAGCACAACGATTTTGCACAGCTAATCTTACCATCAAAATGCAAGATTTTTTTGGTTTCGTGTGAATATGAAGTCTATCATCCAAAGAGTGATGTGTTGGTGTCATTTATCTAGAATGTTCAAGAATAAGAACAATATGGAACAACGGTAATAACTCGTACCTCAATTTTCCTGTCTAATTTATGAAGGGCAGAGTTTCTTTCAAGATATTCAACAGCACAAGGGTTCAAATCATTAGCGTAGACATGCTTGACTTTCTTTGCTGCATAGATTGCAAGGGGACCAACTCCAGCAAAAACATCACCTGTTTAGATGAAAAATAAAACAATACATTCATAACGGGGAGGGCTATAAAATTGGATAAGGTAGCAGAGATTTCCATCTTCTCTTTACAAGGAACGGGTTTCAATTATTTAACATCATGTCGACTAGTCACAGGCCAATTTCGATCAACATTTAGTCATGCATTGTAATTTTGGATAAGCGTATAATTACTGAAGAAGTAAGAAGTAAGAATTAAGCATTGTCTACTAACATACAGACAATATCGCTGTACGTGAAGCAACTGAGGAGCCTCTGCCTTTCAGTTGCAAGCCTCGAGTTCCAATATCTATACAAAAAGTAAATAAACATTAGATTTAAATTAAAAGTTTGCATTTCAACCGCACATATATTTTGTCCTCTCTAGACTTACACTGAGGCTAAATCAACCTGGAAACGCAATCCATTTTCCACAAGTGTTGTCACAAGAGAATTATTGCCGGCCAAAACCTCGAGCTGCATCGTTCTATAGTCATTGTGAATAGCATCAACTTTGTTTACAACTGTTTTTTTCTTGGGCCTGTTCTTATCCAAAACTACCTGAAGTGAAAATCATTAATAGAAAAACAAGGGACCCACAAAAGGTGTCAGAGAAACCTTACAAGACAAAACTGAACTCCATATAATATCAAAGTTGCACTACGAGTCGAAAGTACCTTTGCGATAAGATGTTTATATTGAAGATGCTCATCTCGCAAGTTCAGGTGAGCAATATGGCCAACTGTTTCAAAAGCTGAAGGAATAGTCGTGCCTTTCGGGAGCAAAGCCTCCAAAACCTGCAAAGAATGCAATATATATATTACGTATTATGTCTAGATAGACTAAATTGGATCAAAAAAGTAAAACAGTAACAATTAAGCTAAAAACAAAGGAGAGAAATACCTCATTGAGTTGCCAGTAATCATAAAGCAGAGTCAATTTGCATTTCACAAGTTCAAAAGCAGACCTCGTACACTGGCCATCGTGTTCTTGAAAAGCTACCTGAAAAACAAAATTAAAATATAAGACAGCATATATTAACTGCAAGAAGATACCAGAATCTAGGCAGATCTTTATCAATGAAGTGCAGCCCTTGTTCTAAGAAGACATTCTTCACTCCGCCAAAACGAACGCAAACATTTCATGTTCTTCAATACATGTCCCACCAGATACACAGATTATCCAATACATTTTCTAAAACCCAAAATAAAACTAAACATACTACGGCAGCACGGATGGATTTATAAGTACAACAAGTTCAGTAAATAGTTCATAAGATGGATGTAAACCAAAAAAATTCTATTACCATGTAATACATAACTACAACTTTAGTATTTTTCCTTTCGATCATATTGAACTACCTTCTTTGAGCCTATGAAGTCAGAACTCCAATTCCTACACATAACTTATCTTTACCAATCAATCGGAAGGTTTTGGTTAATAATATGACTACCGCAATGGCGGCGCAATCTGTTTATATTAGCAGTATTCAGCAATTGATATGAAAAAAAACATATGAATTGACCATTTCCTTCAACCCAAACAAATAAACTATTAGTACCATACAGTCGCATACAACAATTCAAATCCATTTTAAGTAGTCATTTTTTATAAGCTTCCCAAAAGCATAGCAATGCAACATATCAACCTAATAGCACATCTAAATACTATAAGCCACAATCTATAATATGAATAAATTAATCAAATTCGAACAAAGTATTCACAAAACAAGATAGCTACAAGCAAACCGGGCACCGGGCACAGTATACAACCATTAAACTTCCAACAAACTACTAAGTAGCAAAATGCTGTAGAACATAAACCTTGATTGCCTCGGGCAATTCGTCGAGCACTTTGTTTGCATATTGCTCATCCAAGAGCAGAAGCCGTGTCGAGCCTCTCCACTTCGGCCGCTTCCCAAAATCCTCACCCAATAACCCGCTAAAATCATCAACATCGCTCTCCTCGCACTCAACCACCTCAACGAACGCCATGTCGTTTCTCCCAACCCCTTTCACCCCTCTTTTCTCCCCACCATCCATCATTTTCTTCTTCTTCTTAGATCTAGAAATTTTCGCTAAATTCCTGAAGTTAACGTACCCTTGCGAATTGAAAGTTCTAGCGAGCTTATCTCGATACAATACAGAATTCAACAGCTCCCCATCCCCCTCCGCTTTCCCGTAAATCCTCCGATTCAATGCAACCAGTTTGATTTAGTCCGTAGGTCCTCGTCTTCCTCAAGCCAGCTTTGTCCGTACTCCGGTAAGGATACCTGCAACGCCGGGAGGGGTTCCCGGCGGGAAAGCTCCGACGATCAAGTCAGTGATCGGAATAAAGGGAAAGACGTGTATGTAATTGAATAGTGATTAGTGTATATTTTTCTCGTGTGTGTGCGTATGTTGATTCTCTTATTTATAGATGAGGAAAGCTTGGCCTTCAAGGCTTTCCTTTTTTAGGGTTTCTCTTTTCCCCCAAGTCATGTATCTTGGGCCTGTATTGTCCTGGGCTCGCCTTACCCCGTTTTGGTATTGGGCTGGCGAGTGAAGGTACTCCCACGAGGTTCCGAGGTTCGCGCCATACGACGACTTCGCTCATAGTACCGAGCTAAGTCATCATGGGTTCTTCATTATGGGCCTATCATATTGGGCTTACCCTAATGGGCTTATGCTTATTTGTTACTTGTCAAACTAGCCCATATCAACTACTCCCCCCTACTCCTTATTTATAATACGAGTTTGCCCCTTCTCACCTCGTGTTATAAGTACGGAGTACGAGGTGCGAGCTCGGACTTCGGTTCACGTCTGGTTGGTGCACGCAACCTTTCCACTTTTCCTCCATTTAATTACTCTGACATCCCGTGTGGTCGATTCGAGTTCCCTAGGTCATCATGGAAAAATTTCAATCAGTGCTTTCAGCGTCGGATTCGAGGCATTCTACATTGAATCTGGGCCGCCCGAAGAAACGGTTATGATTGACCTTCCCTTTTCCCTAGGTCATTATTGAGGAATTTCGATCGGCGCCTCTTGCATCGGATTCGGAGTGACTTACTTTGAATCTTGGCCATCCGAATAGACGGTCACGATCGAGTTTTCTCCTTTCCCTTCTTCTATAAATACCTGGCCCTTGTCATTTTTTAAGATTTTTTCCTTTTTCCACCCTCGTGCTTTCTCTTCTCTTATTACTTCTTCTCCGGCGAACCTGCTTTTCCGAGACAGAGATCTTATCCTTCGTGCCCATTTTCTACCCCGACAAAGGTACTACTTCTTTCCCCCATCTCTTATTACCCCCGCCTTTACTCTTCGAATTGATAATGTCTGCCCGTTCTCCCGATCCTTTCGGCCAAAAAGTGCCCTCCGGGGAGGGGGGTGAAAACCCCGCTTTTTCTATTTCTTCCTCGTCGGAGGAGGGACCCTACTTCTCCCCCTCGGGCAAACTCTTAGAACGGCCCAAGAAGAGGGGCAGAAAAGAGATTTCGTCTTCTGCGAGGAGTGGTTCTCCTTCCCTATCTGAAGGACGAGATTTGGATGACCAATGGGGACCTAGTACTTTAAGCGAGACAGATCTAACTAACTTAGTTCGCGACATAGGCCTCCCTACCGATGTCGAATTGATTCTTCCTTCGCGAGATGATCGCCCTCTAAACCCTCCTTTAGGTTTTAGTACTTGGTTTTCAGAGCAATTCTATTTCGGTCTATCTTTTCCCATCTCGCCCTGGTTTTCTGAGATTGCCCAATTATGTAACGTGTCCCTTAACCAATTCCACCCCCATGCCATAATAATCATGACCGGATTTCGCATGCTATGCGCCTGGTCGGGGGTGATTCCCACTCCAGCTCGCTTCCGGAGTGTAATGGTATTAAAGAATTCGAGTCCTTTCCATGTCTCTATCTCGGCTCGTCCGGGTTTTAAGATTCTGATGCCACCTAATAAAACCGATGGGTGGCAAGGTCACTATTTCTTTGCCAGAAATCCTGTTGACACGCCCTATTTGTGTCCTTGGCTCGCCACCCTGCCTGAAAAGAAAAGGGGTAAACCTTTGGCGGTTGACGAATGTTTATTAAAAATGATATCCCACTTTCAACCGAGCCACGGCGTCCCGGATAGCCTCACCAGCTTTCCGCCGATGCTTCGCCACTTCCGTTTTCACGACAACGGCACGTATTCTCTAACTCGGGAAGATTTAGGTGGGTTTGGTTATAACACTAATTCTTACTTCGACTCACTGTCTTACTTCGGTCGGTTTGTTTTTTGTTGCTTCGCTAGTTATGTACTTGTATGTCTTATATCTCACCCACGTATCTCCCCTTGCCCGTTTGTTTTGGTGCGTAGATCTAAGGATGAAGAGGATGTTCCGAGGTGACAAGCCGGCTACCCGTCCCTCCGAGCCGGAACCTGGGTTCGAGGCGTCTGAGTTTCAGCGCCCTCTAATCGCTGAATCCGAGAAAAGATCCTCTGAGGAAGGGGCTCTAAGGCCCAGGCCATCGAAGAAAAGCGCCGCTCCTCCTCGCGCCCGTGGTGGACCTCCCTCGCGAACTGAGGATTCTGAACCTCCTAAACAATCCTCGGCAATAGTTCTCGCCTCGTCACCGCCTCCTTCCTCGACCGAAGAGGTGGTAGAGAGGGAACCTGCTCCGAAGAAACGGAGGTCTGAGTTGGCCCTTGGGGCGGCTGGATCATCTTTACCGGCCGACTTTGGACTGTACCTCTGCCGGAATGCTGAAAACGCTATTGCTGCGTGCCGGTCCTTGGCATTCCCCACCGATGTCGCCCACTTCGGGCAAATGAGTAAGGGCGACCGACTTGAGTTGCTTCTTCATAACATTACACAGGTTTGTTTCACTCTGTTCTGGTGAATTGGTTTTTGCCATTGCATCTTGTATTTAAGATTAACTCTATTTAACCTCTTTGTGAGTGCAGCAATTCGCCATCGCCTTTTCGGGTCCCCTGGGGTGGGATGATGTTTCGCGCGAGGCGTATGATAATCAGAGGAAAGAGGTGATGCAGCTCCGGAAGGAAGTCCGGGGCTTGAAGGAGAGTCTGGGGGTGTCGGAGTCCTCGAAGGAGGGGCTGTTTGCCGAAGTGAAGAGGCTGAAAGAGAGAGAGAAAATCCTTGAGGCTGAAAAAGACTCCCTTGTATCCCACAATGCCAGTTTGGAGGAGAAAGCTAAGGGGCTTTCCAACGAGCTGTTCGCAGCTGGAGTACAGGCTTCCACTAATTTCACCGAAGGGGTGAAAGAGGGGCAAAGGTTGTTCCCGGGGTCGCCTGAGGGTCTTCGCTTCATCGAGGAGTTTGTTCGCCGCTTCTTTCACCGATTATGGCGTTCCACCACTTTTACTCGAGAAGCTTCAGGTTTAGCTCGTTTCTTCTTTTCGTCGGCGGTTGCGGCTGTTCGGAAGAGGTTAGGCGGTGCCGGCATCGAGTTCCCGTTGGTGGAAAATGAACTGGCGGAGGACCTCCCCGACGACGTGATTCCGGGTTTTGAGGGGGATGTAAATGAGGATCCCAACTTAGAGTGGTGGAGGCCGGTTCATCAAGGCCTCGTTGAAGAGTTCTCCCGTCAAGGGGCTATTACCGACTTCGCCGGAGACATTGGGGCCCTTGGAACGGTGGTTAGTTCCGAAGAGGCACAGCCAAGCCTCGTTTCGCCGCCCCCTCCGGATGCTGAGAATCGAAGTGAAGCAGATGCAGCAGTTCCGAAGTGAAGACCAAAAAAGACTTAACCATTTTTCATGTTTTGTATTTTGAATATGTATTTCTTAAACATTACTCTCTTTATTTCCTTTTGCCATGTATCCTTAACAATTTCTCCGTTTTTCCATATGCTTGAAATGTCTTTATTCGCTTTCATGTCTGTGTTGTTTTGGACTTCAGACTTAGTCTGTCAATATCCCCACTGATCTTCAGTGGTGTTTATTCCTTAAGCTTATCCCCACATGCATATGTTACTACTACATGTGACTATAGTTATCTACAATTTTCTATAGTTATATATAGTGACATAAAGTCTAGACTACTGTAGCATGAATTCAACTTCACAAGGCACTTCACCGCATCTTATTCTCTGCATGTCCTAAAATTATAATAAAAGCAAAACCTGCGACAAAAAAAATACGAGTTAAAGAGCAAAATGGAACATGCGAGTTAGATTACATGAAAAAATACAAAAAAACATGATTTTTTTTTTTTGGTGATAAATTTACTACACTAAAATCGACTACTAATGACTATAGTATACTACAAGTACTATAGTCATGTATAGTTTATATGTAGTCATTACTATACATGACTACATATGACTGTATATGATTAGATATAACTGTATATTCACCTGACTCAAATCATCCATCTAAGTAAGCACTACTGATTAAATTTCTACTATAGACAAACAAAACTCTCACAGTTGAGGCATTTCGAATCATCTTCAAATAAATACAAAAAATAAATTACATATGATTTATAATAAAAATGAAAAAGATAAGAATCAAACAAAAAAAAATCAAATTAATTAAAAAAAAAAGATTTTAATAATAATTGTTCACAGATCTCACAGTTGAGGCATTTCGAATCATCTTCAAATAAATACAAAAAATAAATTACATATGATTTATAATACAAATGAAAAATATAAGAATAAAAAAAATAAAAAAATCAAATTAATCCAAAAAATAAAAAATCAAATTAATCCAAAAAAAAATAATATTAATTGTTCACATATCTTCAAAAACATATAGTAGATCTGATTTTCTTTTTAAATAGTAGATTCGGGTTG